TATATCAAGGGAGTATACTTACAAACATCAGCAATTTTCTCAGTTTTAATTTAAGCCATGTTTATAGAAATCAGGTAAGAAATAAAGGCGCTGCGATCATTTTTGTGATTCCTGCTCATCCCGCATTGGAACAGCCTGGTTTAGTGGACAGACTCACCACGTAGTAACGGCGCCTGAAGGAGCGTGGCTAGCGTTAGCGGCTAACAGGCGATGTCCAAACCAGTAATGTATATCAATGAAGAAATCCTACAACGGCTAAAATCTGACACGGCTCCGTTTCTGTTTACTTTTTGTGAAGAAAAAAGTTGCGCTGGCCTTCTTCAGAGGTTTTGTGTCGATTCCTTCAGTAGTTCTTGGTGCAGCGCCCCCACAGGCGTCGAGGGGAACAGGTTTTTCAGTTAGTTTTAGTCGTTTGACACAGTGTAGTGTGAATGCGAACTAGAGTTCTGAAAACTTAAGGAATGTTGGAATTTTAGTTCCCAGTCGAACCGAGTCTACCGGACTATCCGGTCTGAATGCGCCCGAAAAAGCAGCTCCTTTTTCGGGCGCAACCCAACAGATTCAGCTCCTGAATCTGCTGGGTTGGGTTTTATTATTATTATTTTTTTTAACAGAATGCTTAATGATCTTGTGTCTCTGACTGACATTATAGTTTCACTGAAAATGATTAGTCGGAGTTTAGTTGAGGAAGAATTCAGGTGAGCTACACCTGATGGAATACATTATCACACACCTGTAATTATTCATTGGGCATCTAATAAAAAAATAAATATTCAAAGAAACAAAATCCATTTGAAATGTTTTTTTTTATTTATTTTTTTACCTAGTTTGTGCATGCTTTTGAGTATAACTCGGGGAGATGTCATTCACAGATCCAGTCTCCAACTTCCAAGATAAAAACAAAACTTCAGACCCAGTTGTTAACATCTTCCCTTGTTATGTATCTTTAGATCAAAAGCTGAATGAACATAGCTCACCCTGGAATTCAGTGACGAACGTACAGCAGATGCAAATAGAAGAGTTTTCTATGAATCCCTATGCAGAAAATCTATAAGTTTAAAAGGTGGAAAGCTGTTGATCTTGATGATGGATCTGCTTTGCACTAAAATCATCAACACAACTGGTTCTGATAGTGAGAATAACATCAAGGGATGAAAAGTTGTGCTGAGATGTTTCAGACACAAGTAATTACACCTGATTGCACCTTGCAACTGACTGATAATGACTGAAATAACACAAAACTATTGTTGTCCGTTATACGCAGCGTTTAAAAGTATGCACTGCTATTGAACCTTTTCAGTGATATATGACCAATAAATATTTAAAGAACCATTACGTTATCGTCTTGCCATTGAGTAGGCATGGATTGGCAGAGGTAATGCTATTAAACAAGCTGATATTAAGGGTAATTAGTCAGGTGTCAGTTGTGGTTTCAGGCCTACTATCAGCTGCTTATACCTATTAAAACAGGTTTACCTTAATGAAATGTGATTGGTGGAAAAAACTTTAGCTTAGCCAGAGATTTCTTAGGATATTTCCAAACAGCTAAGTTCTTCTTCTTTGTAAGCAGGGGAAATTAACAACTGATCTTTCCAATTTAGTAGCAGAATTTTTTATTTTTATGTTTTGCTTGATACGGTTAGAGGTATACTAAATTTAAAACACTTGAAATCCACTGTCTCTAACCACTGGGAGATTTTAAAATACTAGCAAATTTTAGACAAGTCCATCCAAGTGCATGCTATGCTAACGGATGAGTCAAGGCACCAGTTATAGGAAACATAAAAAGATAGTAGTTTCTTAGTAAAATAGTTTGACACAGGTGAGGAAATATAAAGTTTTTCTTTAGTGCAGGTGGAAAACGTTCACCTCACTCTTTAGCAGATCCCTGAGGTTTAAATGGAACATTACTAACGTTTGTTTCTATCAACACACTTTTTAACTTCCTTCGACTGAATTATGCTTCATGTGGCATGCATTTGAAACAAAAAAATATTGTTTTGACTAAAGGAGAACTAAAAAAAAATTGTTACACAAAATAAGTTTCACGCTTTGCTACTCTTACAGAATAGGAACCAAAAACTTAAAATGCACCCTGATGGTATTCTGATGCAGCAGCCTCTGGCTTGAAGTACTTGTCTCTAATTTCTGTTGAAAGCAATCAAAGCAAAACCATCTATCACTGGACCAGCTGAGGTTGATGGATGAAGTTTGACTTTCAGTGCAGCCAGATGGTTGTTGTAAACCTACTAGAAAACATGAAGATATAGTTATTTTAATTGATAAAATAACATTTACTTTCACATGCATCTTTCATTTAAGACTTAGGCAGGTGACTCAGACAGACCAATAACTTTTGGGGATTATGCATCTTCATTCAAATTATTACAACAGAAAAACCATATACCTTTTGATTCATGCAGATTCAGTTTCCTGTTCATGACCACCTAACATGTTACGCTGCTTTTTAGAACATGCAAATATTTTTCAGTAAAGTACAGTAATTTCTGCATTCAGCTAGGCAGACAGATTGTTTGGGTGTGACTTTCCGTGCATGCATGTTGAGTGAAGATTAACAGCTACATCCTCTCCGCTAACTTTCCTCTTCAAAATGAGGAAGCCAGTCTTCTACTTAAAATTCAAAACGTTGCAGCACCAAAGATGCCATTCTTCTTCCTGCTTCTCTTTTCCAACACAGTGGCAGATTTGTTCTCCATCTAAAAGTTCATTTTCCCACAGCATTCGGTACCTACTTATTGTGTTTTGTTCTGAGGAAACCTCCTGTACTTCCTGTGCCCACCCAGAGACCTTCTACAACGCACCGAGACAGCTTCAAGGATGTTTAAGTTAAGCAATGTGTCATGCTTCAGACCTCTGACTAATTAAGGTCAAACAGCGGAAGATGAGAACCACACGACAACAACTCAAAACGCAACTCAGGCCTCGCTTTCACAGATCATGAGCTGTTTATTGTGGACAGGAAAGCTGGGTCAACTGCAACACACCTTCTGTTTGTTGTGTTATTCAGCTTTTTTTGTTTCTATTGATGAGAGACATGGATTTTACTTTCGCTAAAGCTACAGTATACATCAGCTTGAGTCAGTCAGTTTAATGCAACAACCTGCATTAAGCCTGCAAAGCCTAAAATATTAAAGCTATAGTTTTTGTAAGTGGGGTTATTTGGTGTTCATATTAGCAGTGAGTATCTTACAATTAGTAGACAGCAGAACTGCTCTAAATCATCTCAGTTTGGAGCATAAAAAGGTTGGCAGATCAACCTGGAGCGTATTCTACAGCGGATCCTATAACAACTTCAACATGATGTTTACACCATCATCATTTCACATTACACACTTCTTTAAATCAATGTCTATGATTATTTTCACTGAGGACATGTGTTGAAGAACAATGATCCATTGCGTACAAGGTGCTGTAACACAAAGCGCCTTGCATGACATGACACAATACAGCTGATGTGCCTTGTAAAATTCGATAATACACAATATTTTTTCTTCTTAACAGCCCCTTGTCAAGCTGCACCTCTGTGTTCTCCCAGCAGTTGTTGCAAATGTAATATTTTTACAAACATTAAATAGTTGTAAATAGCTCTAAACCTCAATGTAAATAACAGCTTCCAGGTCAGAATCGTTATTTTTAAGCTGAAGGAACTCGGGGTACTAAATATACGGCTCTGACCGCTGATAACAACTCCCCAGAAGTAAACAAATCTAAATGATCCCTTTAAGATCGTTGCTGGTTGTTTAAAATGTGGAGTTCTGGCTTCATTACTTCATCTACAAAAGATGGAGCTTATAGTCAACTTAGTTTGGAGAAACAATTAGAAATTCTGCTCACACACTTAGGTTAGCAACTAGCCAGAGGGCTAAAAATTTGATAAAAACAGCCATTGCAATAAAAAAAAAGGTATGTCAACAAATGTTTGATTATCTGTAAATAACCACAGACTTCTTTGTGAATAAATCCCTAATAGTCAAAACTGACCTTACTCAACCCTCAGGTCAAAACTGTTTTTCTAAACTGAAGTTATTTCAACTGCTGTTTGTACTGAAGTAAGATACTGACTGCTGATAACAACTCCACAGAAGCATACCCTGTAAGATCTTTGTCTTTTTCAGGTGAGGTTCAGTGGAGCTATAATTGGCAGCTTGTGCCATGCTCAGGGGTGGATGGAGGAGTACCCAGAAATATACTCAGGAGTACAAAATAACCATCTCAAAAATTACGCAACAGTGAAAAATGTATTTTGGTAAAAGGTTACTTAAGCGTTGAGAAACTAATCATAGCATATTTATTCGTTTTAAACTTGACAGACATCATTACATGTTATCATCAGTCATTATTAATGGGTTAATGTAAAATTAGGGCTTGTAATTTATCCGTGATTTAGGTTTTTTGGCAAATTTTCACCTTCATGGAATAATTTACAAATTAGTTTTAACTGTGATCAAATAAACAGCTCAAATTATCCTCATATTATCCTCAATGATAGCAAAAATCTTTTAGCTTTAATGTCATTCTACTTGTTCTTGCCATATAGAACATCAGTAGATTATAGGTAAATATATTATTTCAATATTTTTTAAAAAGTGAGTTTCGTTAGTTTTAACTTTTAGAACACAATGTGTCCGACTGGTTCCATCTTTTAATCACTTACTTACAACTAAAGCATTTTGTGTGTTCACACCTTTGAACTCCTTGTTTGGCATTAAAACACACATCTTCTTCCTCTAAGTAAAACTGGCAGATCGAAGTTACACAGAAGCCAAACACATACAGACACATGATTCATGAAAACCAGCTGGGTCTAAAAATATCCCAACTGCCTGCAAAGAAAGAAAAAAGAAACAAAAGTCCTCAGGAAGATCGCTTCAGCTATGAGCGCGTTTGTCTCCAGGTATCGGCCTCCCACACCGCCGTCCTGCCGCTGCTATCGCACGCCACATCAGTCTATGAAAATGAGTGACGTGGTATTTACTGACCGACTCTCACTGCGCTGCAGAGCCGCACAGCTGCTGGCAGCAGATACCCATCGCTGTACTCCGTGCCCTGCCATCAGAGCTTCCTCATGATGCTGGTGGAAATCGCGGTTGAACGCGCACACGCCCACACCCATGGGCTCCAGCCACTGTAGCGGACACGCTGAAGCGTGATCAGGGTGAGAGGTGTTAAAGAGAAAAGAGGAGTATAAATGTGTGACTGAGGAGAAAAACCACAATGAAGAATTTGTGCTTTTCTCACCATGTAATTACAGTCTTAATATGATAAGAAGGAAGTTTGATGTTCAGTGCAAGTATTAAGAAACTATTTCTTAGTTTAAAATTAGACTTTAGGCCCAAACTGGATCTTATCTACTTCACCTTCTTCACAGCTTCGACAATCTATGTTTTCTTATTTATTTAAAACAGGAACTCTAATTTTGTTCTTACAGAAGGTTTTGACCGATTTAGTTTCAGCAGCTACTGTAAATGTTGCATCTTTCCAGTCAAAACTGAAGCTTTGGTGCAGAGCATGTCCTAAAAAGGTCAACTGCTCAGACATTTCCTCATGCAGTCAAGATCCAAAATCTAAGAAAAGAGGCTGCAACATTGGGCAAAGGCACAGTTCAGTGATTGTAAAAAAAGAAAAAAGAAAAAGCAGATAAATAAATCTGGCTAACTTGTGTCCTTAGCCCCTGACTGTATCTGTCATAAGATGTACACTAATCAGGCACATTATTACCAACAATAGGTGATGTGACTAACACCCATACTATTTATTGAAATGGCTTGGATGTAAAGCTGCATCTCAATAAATTAGAACAAAAAAATAGTTCAATTCATTTCTGCTATTTGTTTAAAAAAAGTTATATCTTCAACAAAAAGTTATATAATTTGTGTTTGGTAGATTATGTCTGTGTTGTAACAATGCTTCTTAACTATAAATCGTAGAGCGCTGGCATGAAGCATCAATATGTTCTGTTTCTAAAGACGGCAATCATTTTATTTGATAAACATTGGCAAACAAATCAATAGTAGAATAAACTGTTTGGCATTGGCAGGGCATCTGACAGCTTTTCATAGCTGCGACCGGAAAGTTTTACTCTGTTGCACTACTCACAAATGAATTTTCTTCAAGTGTCGTCACTTAAAAGATCATTTGCAGTTTTGACTTTGTCGGCTTTATAAGATTTGTTGCCAAAAAGCCTCGTTTCTCACAAGACAAAAATCCACCAAACACAAATTTCTTTACTTTTCATGCTGAATTTATCACTATTAAACATCTGGCATATTTCAAGCAATTGTTTCTGTTAATCCAGATGACGGCTTGTAGCTAATGAAAGGCTGAAATTTTGTTTCTCTGTAAAATTTGAATAAGACCAAAACAATAGGGATTTTAACGTATACATGTGATATTATGGCTAACACCAGTGAGTTTCAGGGTCCCTTTCTTCATGTTTTCGATACATCACATGCTCAGATGCGAAGCTGATTGTCAAAAACAGACAGCAGGTATAACTGTGTCATGGCATAAGGATTGATAAACAAACCTGCTTATTATTTTTGGTGATTCTCAGAAAAAATGTATGTTTGTATTTGAGTAACCTTAGACTTCACAAGACTTGTGAGTAGTTCAACTTTGTGAATGAAATGACAATTATTTTAAAGGAACCTTACAAACAACATGTAAGAAGGTACTGTATGGACATCTAGTGATGTACACTATAAAAAAGAAAACAGAAAATTGTATTTACCCCCCTTTATATGTTGCATTTCCATATGGGTCGTTTTAATTTCAAAGCATTTAAGGCAGTTATTCTGGTGTGAAAGTACAAGCAGATTATGGTAAATCATTCAAAATGAGAGAAAAATAATTTCTCATATCACCCTTACAGTGTTTTCTCATTAACTTATTCAGAGGCCACTGATAAAATGATAACCATCTCCTGGACAATGAAGTCTTTCAGACTGCCAGAGAAGCCTGTGTCTCATTTACATGAATGGGGAACTGTGACTCTTTGTAATTCATTTTGCACTGAACATGTATGGCTTCCAGTTACATTCCTGGTCAAAAAGCAGCATCTTTTACGGATGGTAATCTGAAACTGAGCCGCCCTGAAAGAGACGAGAGGCCAGCCGAGAGTGGGTGGGTCGTCCCACAAAGGAGGGCTTGATTTTTGACTCATCCACTTGAGCGCAACAATGCGAGGCCAGCAGACGTGTGCCTTGCAATTTAAATAATAGTAATACGAGAGCACTGAGAAAGAGAAGGGGAGGCGACATCGCGGAGTAAAATGTGCGTCATTCCGCATCATTCCTGTTTTAAACAACTGCGCGAAATTGAATTCATGTTGCATTAAATTTGTTCCCCACACAGCAACAATTCTTTTAGTAGTGGAAAAAAATCTCACATTCCTTTGGTCCAAGACGCTTACAGAAATGTCACTACTCTCTAATTTCTACAAGCTGCAATGGAACGAGAGAGAAAGCAACAGAATTAGTCGGAACAGGGAAAAAGCTCCATGGCATGATAAACTTATGCAAAGTGTTGTACTTTTCCTGCTCATTAATAGGTTGGGGTTTAAGCTATGATAATGTGTGCACACTAATGGAAATATATTACAAAACTCAAGCAAAATATCAGCACATGCACCAGTACTGACCTCAAATACAAAACAGCTGAGTTTTGGAGTGGCTTAGTTAAAGCATAGATTTGGGTCAAATGAAGATGCCAGGCAGTTCAGGCTTGAAACTCTCCTAGGTTTCAAGCAAAACATAAGTAAGTAAACATAAGTAAAAACATAAGAAATATGTAAAGAGGTAATTCAACCTGAAGAAAATAAATAAAAAAAACTAGATTATACACACCTCCAGATTTCATGCAATGTTTTAATAACAAAAAAATATATATTTTGATCATTTTAATTCAGGTTCAGGTCGATTTTCTTCTTGGTCAGTTTTTACTCACAGTTCCCAACAAACTACTACTATTTCATCCAGATCTCAGAATTTAAACTAATCGATCTTGGGGCGTGGATCCTGTTATTTTCTTTTTATTTGAGCCAGATCACACTTATATCAGCCATTATGAGCAAGGATCAGACAAAAACTACCTAAAAGTGGTCTCTAGCTGGCAGAAGAAATAGAAGCCCTTTATTGTCGCAGAACCTTTGTACAAGGAGATGATATGTTTTGTAGTCGCATCATCATGTTTTCACACTTTAGACTACGAGTAAGTTATAAAAAGTCTTATACAAAAATGGGTAAAAACTGAATAAAATCTGGCTTGGCAAAATGTTGACTTAATCTGTATTAATTGAACAGACTGAAGCAAACACCAATGCAGAGATACATGGTTGAAAAATGGCAAGTAGTCATTTCATAGACAAGATTTTTGTTTGTTGGAACATGCGGACATTTCTTGTTTTCTGAAAGTGGAAAGTGCTAGAACCGTCTGTATGGAAAATGTCAGTACATAAAACTAATTCCAAAGAAGGAAGCTACATATTTCCCCTTTTCTAGTTCTACTCTTTTAAGTGCTTTGAGCTTTTGCATCCAAATTAGCATCTTGTGCAACATACAACTAAATTCAATATCTGACTCTCAAATATGCAAACGATGGTTGCTGCTGTAATTTGAATGAATTTCATCTAATCCAGCATTTTTTCCCCCCACAGTTGTTAAAATATATGCTCATTCTGTCGTCATCATGTGTTCCTGTAAGCTGAAATGAGAGCAGTGAGGATTGGAGTTACACACATACAGCAGGCTGAGCAAAGTTGTTCAAAAAAAAAGAAATAGAATTAGAATTAGGAAAATGCTGCCAACTGTCTTAAAGACATGCAAAAGTGTTTTAAAAGTAAGAGCTGCGAAGATGTCAAACGATGTCTAAATGTGATAGAAAGGCTGGCAGAGTTCATAAAATGAATTTATGGATCTCCATTTTGGAGGATGAACTTTAAGAGACAGAGATTCCATGTGACTAAACACAATAAGGTGACCTGAAACGTAAAAAGGAATAGAGAGAGATCTATTTGTCTTGATATTTTTCCTAAAAAAAAAAAAAAAGACTGGCGTGACCACAAAAAGCAAGAATCATGACCTTCTTGCCTTTACTCCTTATAAAGAAGACACTTCAAAAACTTCATGAGCTGATGTCGACGGTCCAAACATTAAAAATCTTACCGCTGATTTTATCAGAGGAACAGAGACATTTAAACCTTTCAGCGCTTTTTTAAACACGTAAATCCTGATCCCTGCATCTCGCTCAACCAATAAAACCCGATCCACAGTCGTGCAAGAACGACTGAAGTGAACAGTTTTGCTGAACATCAAAGTGCACCGTTAAGCAAGTCTGAAAGTCTGTTCATCTCTTAACAGCACTGAAATCCAGCTGTGTTGCTGTCAGAGTCACATTTGCATGCGTGAGCCTATCGCCTTTGCCCTGACTGTTTGGTCTTCATAGAAGCTAATTTAATCAATGGCACAATGAACTTTCACTTCCCCTTCAAAAATAAAACAGGTATCATATGATCAGATTTTTGCATGTCACAGTGAGAGAAATGGTCAGTGTTCTTACAAAAGGTGGGGAAAAAACAAGCTACTGTGAGCTACTGCGAGTTGGACATTGTCATAATCTAAAGCTGCGATCCAGAGAGGTCAAAAGGTGCGTGCTCCAGGAAGGTCCTTCATCCAATAAATTCTGGATTGGTTGGGGAATTTTAAGAGATGGGAAGGCATGGAAAGCAGGCCATTTAGACAAACAAACCACTTGTTTCTGTGCAAATTAATGATTTCCAGAATTTACCAGGAAACAATGAATAACTAGCTTGGAACCTGCACTACACAGGGACTTTAATTACAACATGGACAAACCTAATCTGACTCTGGTATGAGATAAACATCATGCTTTTAATAAGTCAACCCCCTCAAAAAAAAAAAACCTCGAAAAAGCAGATGTGTTGCAAAACTGTCCCACCGTCTCTGCCCTGAAGCTTGCATGAATTGAACACGGAAGTCAAGTTTTACAGTTAATTATTAATGGTCAGTTTCGATTTATTTCACCTAGATCTTATAACGTTATGTAACTGGTGGCTCGTGACTAAAACACAGCCTTTGTTAATAAAAATGCTTGTTCCGTTTATTTGTTTCTGGCTAACCGTGTTTGAGACGAGTCAGTTCCACATTTGCTCATGTTACCTATGCTGACATTATGAGATGTTCCATGCCGCTGAACAAACAGGTGTTCAATGATGCGGTGGGGGGGAAAAAAAGAGAACAGAGCGTCTTTACAGAGTCACGTCACTGTGAATTGGTCCGTTTGTGCAGAACTAAAAATATACATTTCCACAGGGAACCAAAGTTTTTTGTTACTGCAAATCTTGCATAACATGAGTTCTCTTTGAGATTTTCACAACATGATAACCTTGAGAAAAAAAACAAAAACAAACACTAGTTCCCAGGTCCTAATTAGTTCCCAATTCTAAATGATTTTATTGAAACCAGAAAAGAAAATATTATCCCTACCACTGTGACATTTTTATTGTAATTTAGATTTTTGATTGACAGCTCGTTAGAAATATTAGCTGGTTTAGAAAGTTATGTTCTTAGCTTTTACAGCGTAACTGTTTGTGTTTTTGAGATCAGATTTCCAAAAAGCATAATAGGTCTTTTTTGCAAACAATAACAAGAGCAGTTTAGCAGTTATTTTTTCATTCAGCTAAACTATAGTGCACAGCAACAGGTAGGGGAGGGGCAGCACTGAGGAATTATGTTCTATATAGCTGGAGAAAACTTCCCTGTCAACTCATTGAACTTTTCATGACTTTGAAGAGACTTGATGAATTTGTTTTCCTTTAAGTGTTGGTTTTTGGTTTAAACACCCATGTTTAAAGGAAAAAAAACAAACAAAACATATATTGTCCTGCTACAAAAATTCAGAAAACCCTCCCCAGCTTTCACATTTAGCATTGCTGAAGTTCTGCTTCTAGATGCTCTTTCTCTGATTGCACAAACTAAACTGGAGGAGCACAAACTAAACTGGAGGAGCACAAACTAAACTGGAGGGGCACATCCTCCAGTAAAAACAGATTCCCGAGTAATTCTTTAGGCAAAAACTCAAAGCACTGGTTTGACTGTTCTACTGGCTCTGGACCAGACTTGGCTGAAAAGGCCGTCTGAGCGGGACCTCATTCCATTCCCGACCCCTTTGTGTTGGCCACACGTCTCCTCACATGCCATTCTCAACCTCTGTCACCCCTCCATCCATCCCTCACCAGACAGACCAGTGGGACGAGGACAGGTGGATCTCAGGGAAGCTGCTTGGATGCCACTGGCTCTTTGTTATGATAGTTCCCTGCCTGGGAGAACAGCATTTTTTAAATTATTTCACCCTAGAAACTTCTAAAAAAAGAAAAAAAAAATGTCTCACTTGTCTACGTTTTGTGCTTAGAGGGAAGTTTAAAAAAAAAAATCGGATGAGTCTTTAACTGTAAACTGTAATGAATCAGTACAGTTACACCTGCATCAAGTTGAGTCCAAAAAAAAAATATGAAGTTAATTATCTTATCTTCATATGTAACAAAAATAAAAATCTCAATTTACTCAACTGCAGAGTATGCTTGCATCTATGTGCATTTAAAAGCAGCTCAATGTGACATATTTCTCTCAATCAGTTATCTTCAATGTTAACTCCAGACACCTCCTGCTAAAATAGGTTATATAACTCAAAAACATCCACTTAATACTATCTGTATGTGCTGACATCTTACAGCCTGCTCTCAGGGTGAACTTGCTGGACAGCCAGTTCTGGTTACGTTGGGGATTTTACTTTCAATCGTTTCTCCATTTTTAAATTATCTTTCACAAAGTGAAATAGTTTACTTTAAATTATTTCCAGACCTCTTTAAACCCCTTGCCAAACTAGTGTCTTGTTTCTGGAGGAATCAGAGAAAGCGTTGATCTCTCCATGGCGCTCTCGCTAACTTCAACATTTAGAAACACGTCGAATCAAATGACAAACATGACAAACCCAACTTAAAACTGCCAAGTAATGATGTCAGTATTAAATGATTTCAAAAAAGATATTCACGCAGGTTGCCGTAAGTTCTCCTCCCTTTTTCCACGACCGTAAATATAACTTGATTAGTATATTTTCTGTTTGAGTCTTAATAAGTTTATCAGAGTTAAATCTTTCCATCTTAATCAGTTAAAACTTTACATCTCTTCATCTCACCACATATATATATATATATTTTTTTTTTTTTACACTTTTTGTACATGTTCTACATGTCAAACCGGATCTAACTAGTATTTTAGTTACATGCATCAATCTGAGTCCAGCTGTAAAGTTACCCGCTTCAGTCTTTAACAGTCTAAAATAATAATTTTTTCAAGTGCATGTAGATATATCAATACATGTTCAACTAATTCGTTATAACATCTAATAAATAGTCGACTATAATAAGGTCATTGAGTTCAATCAGATTTTTGGTTCAGGCAAAAATCCACCACTAGTTGTTATGACTCAAAGAACATTTTTAAACTGAAAACACGTCAAATCACAATAGATGAGTATTCTCTCTGACTTCTGGCAAATAGTTCAACACGGTTAACTCCAGTTTTATATGCTGCCTTGATTTGTTTGATGCCAGTTCACATCCTTATAATATTTCGACAACACAAGCATTTTTGACACTTCTGAGAATATTTGGGACTAAAATGTAAGAAACAATAATGCCACAGTTTATTTCCCTTGTCAGCACCCATGAACAGCTTACCAACATCAATTTTCTCCAGATTTATTAATTATTTCCATTTACCCGAAAGTAGCAAGAGCTCCACGGTTATTGTGAGCTAAGCAAAACCTTCTTCATCAATATTTGTGCATTTTTGTACCTGTAAGTCTGTTAAATTATAAAAAAGAAAAACCACCACATTTTCTCCATAATTTAAAATTAAAAATCTAGTGTCCAAAATTTGTTTTGTTCTATAACAACAATTTATGTAACTTAGCTACTTCCTTACCTACTACTGTGAAGGAGGCTTTTTTTTTTGCAATGTATGTAGTTATAAATATGTTAACCCATATATGTTTCCTTTATTAAATACAATCCTGTCAAAAATATATTTTTCATGAGTTCAAATATATATTCCGCTGCTGATGAAACATTCCTAATCCAAGCACGCTTTATTAGTGACCCACAAGTAATCTCTCCTATCGTTCACACCCTTCAGAACAAAGCAATATTTGTCTTGATGTAATTGTTTCCAACCATAATTAAGTATATTTTCTTTCTCAGATATCATCTGCTTTTCCTTGAAAAGCTAGAATTTCAGTTCTAACCCTAAACTTTTTTGTTTTTGTCTTTTGAAATGTGCATACAGTTTGTGGCTGTAAAGATGTGGTTACTATTTCTGTCCAATAAATAGTCCTTTATATTGTATTTTCTCCAATTCAACACATCCCTGATAAAACTAACCAACATAGGAATAAATTTAAGCTCATATTTGTTCTTACATTATCTTCAGCTGAAGTCATTTCCTAAATAAAGCTCCTAGTTTTACTGTCTGTGTGGGAGCTCTACCTGCGCAACAGGTGCAGTCACACCTGTCAGATTAAACCTGACTTGTCGCTTAAATTAAAAATAATAATAATAATAATAAAAAAAAGAACACCCCCAATCTGTTACTTCTATATTTTTTGGTGGAGGGATTTCACAAAGCTTACCATCTTGTTCAAGTCTGAGTAAAATGCTGAAATAAAAGAAGTTTTCCTACCGGGAGGAGAGCGCTGAATACCAGGAGAGTCCACAGAGTGAAGCTGAAGCGCCGGAGCGGCTTCATGATGCCGCACTCTTGATGGACTCAAAAACAACAACAAAAAAAGATTCTCGGTGTCTTTGCTTTCTTCTTACTCGCTGAAGGTCTTCATGTTCAAACTTCCTGGCTTGAAAACGCTAGCCCTCCCGGTCCCTACTCGTCTCTTTCGGACGGACGCCAGCGACATCAGTAAAGTTGAAAGTGAGAGGAGAGAAAGTTTTTCCTCCTCGCTGGTTTAGCGGAGGGGCGGAGCGTCATGACTGCGCCACTCCTCTCATCAGCAGCAGCAGCAGCGGTTTTTATCAGCGTTATTCAGGCGTCTTGAGAGGAAATGCTCTGTTCTGTAAGCCTTCGAGGAAAGGCCTCTCCGTGTGTCCGCATTTTATCCGAGAAAGCACAACGAGGCATCAACCACCCCCCCCCCACTCACACTTAATCCATCAGTAAATGAATATGACCGTCCCACG